GCAAGGAGGATCTATATAATCTTTAAAGTTCAAGGACCACCATCCTCCATCAATAACTGATGTTTGTATTAGGCCAAATCTTATCATCGGATGAACCTCTATCACCCAATTCCTTGTAAGGCCTCCTCTTGCTATTGAAGAGAAACATGCCTGGACACACTCCTTTCTTTCTAGCCCAATGGGTATCGTCCCCTGAGGCAATCTTCCCCATATCACCATTTCCAATTCAGATGCGGTCCAAGAGTGAGGTGCTCCCCTTACCTGCAGTCTAGGCTTTCTCCTCAATGCCATCTTAGTTTCTATCCCTTTCTCTAGTAACTTTTGGCACTGTAAAAGCTTGATGGCTTGATTTTCATCTTCTACGCGTATGAGAACAGCACCAGCCTTGGTTGTACGGATCACTTTTGCCTGTACTCCTAGTTCATTCGGAGATGGTAATTCGCTAACAATTTCTAGAGCAGATTTCCCTCCTCTAGCCATTGTAACAAACGCATGCCGCGGTGCATTTTCCTTAGGTTTAATCGGTAGCGTTTTAACTATGTCCGCCATAGTTTTCTTTGCCGGGTGTAAAATTGACGCATTAGAACTGTTCTGTACTCCTTTCAGTTGCTCATTTACTTCCTCGTTCTTTTTGGCTATCATTTTAACGTTTTTCTTTTTTCTTCGACTTTGAACTATAGCAAAATCTTCTGATTCTAAAACTTCTTCTGAAGGTTTAATTATTAATTCATTGTTTAATGAATTGATCCCAGATGTTCCAGCTTTAGGCGGTGGGTTGTGGTTTTGTGTTTCCGCTGCTGGAAGCCTCTCGAAAATTCTAGGTAGAGATCGTTCAACGAGAATGTCCGTGATTTTGTCAAACACGCTAGGAGATGATAGTGTCTCCTTGACAACTCGTTCAATTAATGCTCTCTGTTCTTTCGATCTATCGATGACGGTTTCCATGATATCGATAAGATGACTCACTTTACCGTTTATATCTTTTTGCGTTTTCACACTTAATCTTTTATCCACGTTCGTGAGGTAAACTCTTAAGTTTTCTTGAATGGCCTTCGCCTCTACTAACAACGGATCCGTTTTACTCTCTTTTTGGTCTGTTATATCAGGCGATCCATTCCTGACTCTCTTGGCGGCAGGCCTTGATCTTTTAGGTTTTTTCTCATCTTCTATCTCTTCTTCCATTTCTATAACACTATCGTCCATAGTAAATAGTATTTTAACACTAATTACTGCAGTGATAACAGTTCTAACCTATCTAATTTAAAATAGCTTAGGAACAGTTATCAGCAATTGTTTGTATAATTCTTTTGTAGTTCCAATGGGAACTTCCTATTATATTTGCCAATAAAGGATTCTAAAACTTTTCTTTTTGTAGTCCTTGATAACTCAATACAATTTATTAAACGAATTGGATAGGTTATGACTAACTTACCTCAACCAGATTTCAAAAAGAGTCTTTTCTGATAAGCTTTAATTATTCTAATTATGATACTCTAATTAGATATTAATATTTAGTCTTTCTCTATCTCTAATATCTCTAGATATTAATAGTCTTTATGTACTACGTCAAAATCTCGTGGAAAACCATGCGAGGCTTTCTAACCTCAATATTCAAAACTATTTACACTTATAAAAAAACACTACAATTAACAAACCATGTCTAAAAAATTTAATTAACAGTAAACAAACATAAAAAACAACAACAACATAAACAACACAAAGACAGCAATCAGAAATCACACTATACCGCAAATGCGACTGGTCACAAGCAAGTACAGAGCTAGACTATTATTAGATAATATTGAGACACAATGGCTCATACATTGATGTAGAATGTAATGAATAAATACGTTAAACGGTCCCTAACCATGAAAAAAGACTCATTTCCGAATCCATCCACATTCACATGACACAGAATCCTGTTAATCATAAAGTAGATAAAAACTGTATTTCTTTAACATTGTAAATCTTATAAGTGAAAAATAAGAGAGAAACACTTTATTTTCATAAAATATACAATATAAAGGATTGCTGCCCAATTATATTATGTTGCTATATACACAGCATACTCTTCTATCCTTAGGACAATATATGAACTTATATATAAATATACAGAAGTATTAATTGATATTATTTAATATAAATATGTATCTTTTTTCAATTTGTATTGATTAATTAAATTTAATCAGTTATTATTTTTAAGTATTTCCGCTTTGTGTGATCTCTATTTTATATTTACATTTTACATCAATGTATGATCATCCGGTTTACTTTGCATTGATTTTACTTTTTAGCCATTATGTCTCAATATTGTCTAATATTTAAATGTAATTTTCTTACATATGTACAACTAAGTATAATTATAATTATTTATATTTGTTTCCTCTCTATACTTCTAAATTAGTTCTGCTATGTATGGTCTCTTATTTCTATATTTATATTTTACTTCGAAACTATCTATTGTCAAAATGATTCATAAACCCAAAAAGCCACCAGCATACCCATCCTCTTACCGTCCTATCTCTCTTTTACCCATCATGGGCAAAATCCTGAAAAAACTCATCTTAAAACACCTGTATCCCATCCTATATTCTAACTACATAATCCCTGACCACCAATTTGGATTCCGTACATTTCATTGTAAATTCCAGCAATGCCATCGTGTGGTAGACGGATTGTATTGCCCTGGAGTCTATCTCGACGTTAAACAAGCGTTTGATCGAGTCTGGCACCCGGGATTGCTCTACAAACTGTACATTTCTCACCCCTCCCCTCCCCAAACATACTTTCTCATCATCAGATCCTACCTTAATGATGGACACTTCAAAGTAAATCATAATAATATCTATTCATCCCTCTTTTCTCAATCTGCTGGTGTTCCACAAGGTAGTATCCTTGGTCCTATCCTTTACATAGTTTATACAGCTGATATTCCAACCCATCCTAACACTGTTATCACCTATGCCGATGACACGTGTATGCTATCAATTACTAACGATCCGTCTATTGCATCCCAAACTCTTCAATCACACATAACCAGGCTTGAAAAATGCTGTCAAAACTGGAGGATTGAAATAAATTCCAATAAATCCCATCAAATTACCTTCACTCTTCGCCGTAAACCTATGACTTCCTGTCCTACAGTATCCTTCAACAATAGCCCTCTTATCCCTGTTGAACAAATACGATATCTAGGACTCCAGCTGGACAAACGTCTCACTTGGGATCCTCATACAAGACTGAACGACAATAAACTGCTCAAAGTTTCCGCTTACTCCAAAACTTTCTAGACAAGCGCTCTAAACTTTCTATTAATTACAAAATACTAATATACATGACTATAATAAGACCTATTTGGACTTACGGAGATGAGCTAAGGGGCTCCACTAAACCATCAAATTCCTCTCGTATCCAATCCTTACAATCCAAAATCCTTCGAAAAATCCTCAATGCTCCTTCCTTTGTCACAAATAAAATAATCCATAATGACCTTAATGTTCCATATGTCTCCGGTTTGGCCTAATCCAGATACCTATCCTTCCATAATAAACTTCATAACTATCCGAATCCTCTCGTTTCTTACCTTGCTTCCTCTTCGATTCCTGATAACCCCCCGAGGCGTCTGAAAAGAAGATGGCCTCGTGATTTCCTTATGTAGACATATAATTAGAGTGTTACCTGTGGGTAGGTTCTCAAAAAGCATTTACAAGTGATTATATTCTTGGGTACACATTTACTTGATGTATTTATATTGTAATACAGATGTAAATATCTTAAATAAATAGCTAAAATATATATATATATATATATATATATATATATATATATATATATATATATTACTTCTATTTACGTTTTACTTCTTTCATTTTTGTTTTTACTCACATTGTACTCCTATCTATAATTTCTTAATTATATTTTATATGTATATGTATAATATTATAATTCAAATCTGATTCGGATTCGGAAATGAGTATTTACACCTATCCATCCATATCTTAAAAAAATTTAGATATTGTAATTTTCCAGGTTTTGTTATCCTTTTACTGCTTATCTCCTCACCATTTCCCAACCAGGTCACCAAATTTCCCCAATATTTACTTACCTTGGATTTCCAGTTCTAAGTGAAACTCCTTGCTGAACACACCTGTAAGTCTCTATTTTTAATCTTCTAATTTTATTTACTTTCTCCACATCCCTTTATGTCCATTATATCCTTTTTCCCTTTCTTCCAATCTCTCCGGTAGATCTTGAGGAGCATATTCACAATTGTATTTTATATTATATATTATACTACAACAATTGTTACCACCTATTTACTTTTGTTTAGGATCTTGTTACTGTGCCTACTCTGTTTATATGTAACTTATTGTTCTTAATATTTTAATGTATTTACGTTTTATAATTTTAATATGTTTATTCACATTGTTTATAATTTTTTATTTAACTATGATGTAACTTCCGCAATTCTCTATATTCTTTTTGTATCTTGTCCGTTTCAGCCCTGAAGAAGGCCTGCAAAGTTAGATCGAAACGTTGGCTTTTAATAAAATAGTTTTGCCTCTATTTAGCCTATTTATGAACGCCACCCCGGACCATCTCCTTCCTTAATAATACAACGGTCAACTATTAAGTATTCAATATTATTATATGTGTTCACAAAGGAAAATATCAAAAATGCCTGATATACACAGCGGACTAAATATCTAGTCTCCTTCCCTTCGGTCGTAACTAAGTATTATAATTTGTTGACATGATACCTTATAAATTCATCAATTATATTCTTAAATTGCATTGTTTTTATCTTGGTTGAATATATTTATTTTTCGCACTAATGAAGTTGGTATTCATTAAATATTATTCTATTTTTTTTAACTTACCTTCATCCAGACGAGCCTATTCAATCATGTCTATGATCAACTATCATACGTTCATCATACGTTTAAACGAAAAAGAAAAATCTTTGCTACCTAAATATTTTATTAACTGCATGTACTTACGCCTTCGAGAATGAGATCCTAAACTCCACGTAGAAAATGAAAAAGAACCTCTGGGGATTTAACATTCTCTGAAACGAAATTTTTATTGATATGTATTTCATAATGAATTCGAAGACATAATTTAGTGACTTGCATTAGTTTTATTTTTAAGATAATATATATTTTTTTAACTGAATGTATAATATTCTTCTTAATAGGAATCAAAAATATCATCCAAACAGGTTATTTTTAACTAGTCATTCCAATTAATATAATAAATCTTTAACTTTTGATATCTGTTTAGTAAATGAGTTTGAGATATATGTTAATAAGTTTTTTTTTGTTTATTTTATGTTAGTGAACACATACCTAAAATAGTGCCGTGCAATTATTAAAATCTCTGTATATGTATATATATATATATATATATATATATATATTATATATATATATATATATATATATATCTTATTTCACGTATGTATACATATATTAAATTCTAATATCTGTCTCTGATACTTTATAGTCGTTCTTATTTAAAACACATAATCTGTCCTTCTAACTTTTACTCTCTCTCTCTCTCTCTCTCTCTCTCTCTCTCTCTCTCTCTCTCTCTCTCTCTCTCTCTCTCCTCTCTCTCTCTCTCTCTCTCTCTCTCTCTCTTTTTTTTCTTTTCTTTTTTTTTTTTTTCCCTTCTTTCCCCCCGCTGTACCTTAGGGCAACCCTATACCAGCGGTACATCCAATTTTCTAACTGAAAAATATGCCACGAATTTAAAGGGCTCGGTTACCAGGATTGGTAACCAAGCGGGCAGGTCTGCTCTCACTTTGATCCAAATTCTTGGGTCAAAGTGAGGCAAAATTCGGTCTTTTAGTTTGATTGGGGCATTAATTATCACGGGTAAACCTACACTAATGGGCTGCCTGCAACTGGAGGGCTGTTCCCACCAAACAGGACTCCAGTAACTTCCTACCTACTTATTGTGGGCCTATTACTAAGTTTATATATACTATTTCTAAATCTTATGATAACAATAAATTTATGTATTTGGTATATCACCGGTTTAATCTTTCCTCTCTTGCTATTTTTTCATGGAATATCCTCCTGGCGTATTTCTTAAAGGCATCAAATATCTCAGGTGTCTCCACAAGCTTGTCCAGGGACCGAGGAGGCCATTCCAACATGGAGTACTCTCCTGCCAATGCTTGTCGGGCGCCAGTGTACATTGGACATTCCAAAATTATGTGTCTAGCGTCCTCAACAGCCCCGCAGTGACAATTCGGACTGGCTCTTCTATGAAAAAAATGTAATTTTTCATTTATATCTCCATGGCCTGTGAGGAGTTGAACAGTCCAGAAATCCGTCTCCACCCAGTCATTCTTGATTCTTCTCCTGACATCTGGGATCCTGACTTTTCGTTTTTGAGCTAGACTGCTGATATACACAAACATCAGAGAATAATATGCAGGAAAAATCAGATACATTTGGTTTAGTTAGTAGCAAGGTGAAATGTCGACGAGACGATAGCCAGCAGGTCGTTGTCATCAACTCACCATCAGACTTGGACATGTTATCTTGACATGCATACACATGTTACATTACTTTGTACAATTTTGTTTTTACTTTTTTATGTCTTCAGGTATATGTTCTTGTTGTGTCTGGTTTATTAATATACTATGATAATAATTTTATTTTTGTTTATGAGAACATTTTAGGTTTGATCTGTTTAGAAATTCTAATTTATGTATTTTTTTTTCTTTTTCACAGCTGGAGCCTGCTGTTTATTAACTAAATTTTATATTTTTTGTTTTCCATCATTATTAATATCTGGGAAATCTTGCATACTTACTGTTCCTCTCAATAGAGATATTATCAATAGTTATGGTCTCTGGGCTCATATTGGCTCTAGCTACTGTAAAAATATTGCTATTCTTAACTCCTTCTGTCCGTTTACCGAGCCACCTCTCCTTATTCCATGACTAATATCCTTTTAACCTGCCATGTCAACGCTCAGTTACTCCTAGTCCTTTTATGAATAGTACGACTTTCTTCTCCATAACTTGTACCATTTAATTGCCGTATCCGAAACCTGGCTGAAACCCAAAATCCCGTCTTCCCAGATCCTTTTACCTAACTATACTATCCTTCGTCATGACAGAGTAGATCGCATGGGTGATGGAGTAGGTCTTTTTGTCCATGACAGTCTCAAATCCAAAATCCTTCAATGCTTTTCCATAACGTTGAATACCTCTTCGCCGAAATCCTCACAACCTCATCTGTCATTCTGTTTGCTGTCATATATCGACCTCCTAGAATTCCTTTCGATGAATCACTTGAGACTTCTTTGTACAATTTAATCCCTTCCTACTCAAATATCATCCTCTCCGGAGACTTTTTCTTATATTTTTTTATTTAGAAATATTACATTCTGTCACAATCAAGGACATTTATAATAGTGTTCAGAGAGCACTCACACTCTATTTGGTAATTATTTACGAACGGTCCTCCACTCGCCATCTTGGTTGAACTGGTATTATGTCCCGTGTTCTGATAACGTTTACGAAATCTAGCACCAGAAAGCGCCACTATTGCGGAGGGGTTGTCTTGTCCCCTCCACCTTACCTCTGTTTTCAGTAAATATAGAAATTAGATCGTTTAGGTTATATATTACCCGCCTTTTTTTAAATTAACCATTCCTTACCCACCATTAAATAAGCATCGATTGAACACCCATTTCCATCTTATCCACATAATATTTTTATGCTTATACTTTTTATATATCCACATAATATATTTATGCTTATACTTTTTAGATATATTCTGTCACATTTTCAGTCTAATGTGCAGCATACTGTCTTAAACAATTTGTTAAACATTAAACAACTTCATTAACTTAAATTTTTAAATATTTGATGGTTGATCATTGTATATTTTAGATATTTAGATTGTATATATTCAATTTTTAAATACTTTATGCTTGACCATGCTATATTTTAGATTGTATGTACTAAAAAATTTACAATTTTCTATAAGTGTTTTAATGCTGGATAAGGGTTATGTTTTTCATTTATATGTTACTTAAATCTTCTAGCAATAAAACACATTTTCAGTCTACTGAGGTACATACTGGCATTACCAGATTCTAAGGGAAATGTTTCAGGATCATGTAGGAGAGCTCTAGCGATTCATTTAATTTAAAATAATCAAAGAAGAAAACACTACTGACATTCCTTTAAATCTGAACTTGTCAGCAACATTACGAGTTCTTAGCGATTGGTCCCTTGTATATTCCCCTTGGAACCGTACATTTTCTACATAATTAACTATGCCAATCATCGTATCTGTATGATAGACAAGTATCTTAGCAACCTGTATATATATATATATAAAACGCAATGCTCCAAGAGGTATTTAGTCAAGCAGTAATCTTTTTCAAACATTAGCTAAATTATGTCAACTTGAGCCTGTTACATTTATAACAGATGCTTTTGAATATATTTTTACCTATGCATCTCAATTATTCACATTTGGTTATTATAATTTCTAAATTGTCATAATCTCCAATCCAATTTAAATTATCTGACCAGTTATCCCTAGCCATTTCCATTGCTGTCTACTTACATTATCTGTATCTACTTTTAGATAGATATATAGAAAAAAAAACTTTATTCTGGGACTAAGTCCCTTCAGAATAACAATAATGTACAAAATAATAGAATATTACTGGCCTAAACGTTTGAAACAATAAATAAAATTGATAAAATAAAATAAAAAGTAAAGAAAACCTTAGGTGCGCAAGCTATATACAATACAGATAAAACTATGTACAGAGCATTTAAAATTATAAACAAAACAATTAAAACTATGAACATATCACTTGAACTATAAACAAAACTATAAAGTTAGAATGTGTTCATTTCATAAAAAAATAAAATTTTACTTGAATATACATATAAAAATAAACAGTTAATTATAATTGAATAAATAAAAGAAATGTATGTATTGAAATTCCTATGTCGATAGTATGAAATGCATGAACTATCTCTTATCAAGTATTATGATTATATGATTGCTACACAATACATATATAGTATTAATAGTTTTACTGTATCTGACTGTTTTGTTTGCCAAACTAGGAATTGGTTAATGAGTTTTTGAATTTGTTCATAAGGGGTATGTCCATTTATGTATTCAGAGACTGTAAATAATTTAACTATCGAGAATGACTTATGTCCATAAGGAATTATTACATCAGTAATGATCTAATTGAGCAAGGATAAGTAACCTCAGAGGTACATATTCTTTTAGTGAACGAATGGATATTTACTTTTATAGGAGAAGGTTAGTCGTGAATAAGAAGTATTCATGTAATAATATCTAATTAAACACAAGAACTTCCTTAGGAAGAAAGATAATGTAAATGCAGCTAATGGAAATGGCTAGGGATAACTGGTCATCTGGTATTGCCAGTATGTACCTGAGTAGACTGAAAATGTGTTTTATTGCTAGAAGATTTAAGTAACATATAATTGAAAAATATAACCCTTATCCAGCATCAAAAGCATTATAGAAAATTGTTTAATTCTTCTTGCTAGAAGATTTAAGTAACATATAATTGATAAGTATAACCCTTATCCAGCATCAAAACCCTTATAGAAAATTGTTTAATTCTTCCTGAATTGTATTAATATTGGACATACTTAGATAATGTACAATTAGAGATAAAGTGTCACAATTAAAACAAAACTTAAGTTAATAAACTTCTTTCATTTATGATAAGGAAAGCGAAAAGCATTAATAATGCTGAATCTCGAAGCTAAAAAAACAAAAACGGGCAATATATAAACACTACAATTATAAATAATATTAGTAATATATAATGGTAAAAAAAATTGATGTAGGTAATATGTGTAAATAATAACATCTGAAATATAAAGTTTGGTTAATCGATATATTGAAGATACAAAGAAATCGACAAGTTAAAAAAAATGGTGGGCACTATATATTGTAAAGGTTACAATTGGTAATTATTTGTAATGAACGTAAGGTGGAGGGGACAAGACAACCCCTCCGCAATAGTGGCGCTTTC